TGTTGATGGTATGGCTGACTGAGGATTTTTCCAAAGTGCCGATCTACTGGGATTTTTACACACAACCATCTCTAAAGTTTCCAGAGAATGGTTCAAAACAGGAAAAAGTGAGCAGCGGCTCATGGTGAAAACGCTTTATTGATGGCAGAGTTCAGAGAAAAATCACCATATTTGTTCAAGTTGATGGAAAGGCAACAGTAAAACAAATAACCAGTTAAAAGAACGGGCTTAGAGGGCCCCTAATGGACCAAAGCATCAGATGAACACACCAGGTGCCACTCATGTCACATAAAGACAGAAAGACAGTGAGATGAAAGCATCAGAATTTGGCATAAATACTTAGTGTACATAAGTCCTGATGTTAGGGAAGGGTTTAGGGTATTTTTGAGCCCCTTAGTACAAATAGAGCATAATTTGAATGTTGAAGTCTACAAAAGCATTGTTGCTGACTCTGTCCACTGTAAACATCTTATAATGGCAACGCTCAGTATTTCACAGCTCATATCATTACAGTCTGGTCTCTCAGTTCACTGTACTTAAATGGTACTTCTGGGATGTGGTGGAAGCTAGGAATCAAATCAGGAAGGGGCTGCCCACAAATGTGCAGAAACTGTAATAATATTATGTCGTTTTCAGCCAGATCTCTGAGGGTTTTATTCTGCAATTGCACAATGAATAATTAAGGCAGAAACCAACACAGCTATAGCACAATGTAACTAAGAAAGGATATGACTTCTCCAGTGCCGCCATAATTCCTCGTTATTGACCCCACACTGACCCATTATGTTCTCTTTCTGTGTTTGTATCTTAGCCCTGTCTTCGCCTCTCTTTGTAGTGCATTTTGTATGTTTTGTATGTTTCAATTTACATTACAGCTTATTGTTCATTTGAATTGTTATTGTTACTACATTAGCAAATTGCATTACGAACCTGGGTAAAACCCATAACCTTTGGTAGAGTTAATAATTTCAAATAGCTCTAGCTAAACAGCTCTGGTCCATCAGCCTGTTCCACATCCTTAACTCTTCATTTCACACAACATGGATATGACCCTACAAGTCTGACAGCTGGTGGCTTTCAGCTTCTAAAATATGTTGTAAAGAGTGGTTTTAGAAAAACATCAGGATGTTGCTCTTTAATCCAAGGTGACTGACTGTTCTACACTTGGAGTAGCTCAGTAGTAAATCCAACGGGTCCAGGTGCCATTTGTCATCATGGAATCTAACATTAACAAAAGCAACTAAAAGTTTAGAAGTGATTGGACCTTGGCTTAGATGGTTTTAAATCAGAAGTGGATGTTTTTAATAATACTCACAATGATGTCTAAATGAACAAAAGCACCGTGGTGCACACAAATTTGATCGACTAAATAATCATATTTTTATTTTTATTTGGAATATCTATAAAATTGTCAAGCAATTTACACATATATTTTCCTCTTCAACTTTGAATGTGAATGATATAATAAAGATATATTACTTCTCATTCCATTTCTGGTGCAAGAACAGAGAAATGCAAATGTTTCCTGAGCTGCACTTCTTTACTAGTTCTTTATTTGTCTTTTCCGTCTCTAACTGCCTCTATCTGTTTGTTTGTTTGCGTCTACATACACATTGCCTCACTGACGGCAGCACATTCACTAACTCAACCGATGTCTCTTTGCCAGAGGCACTGTACATCTTGTCTGTGCACACGCTATATATATTTTACATTCTGACAATGTGACCAAAATGATCATTATTCAAAATACAGTTCCACCTCCGACCAAGAGAACAAGCAATCACTGACGCAATTTCCTACATCTTTGAACTGCTCTAGGGGAATGAACTTGTGTAGTATGTGTTATGCAGAGTATGTTTTGTGTAATGATTATTCCAGCGTTGCTGAAAATAAAAGTTTTATTAAAAGTTGCATTTGTTTCTGGGAACGCGGCCTGTAAATTTAAAGTGTACATCTGTATGTGTGCGTGTCTATGTTTGTATCCAAGAGCAAGCGAGTCACAGAGACAGAGAGAATTGGAGGAAACAAATGGGAAAGACAGCCACTCTTAGTATGGGCAGGTAAGGTCAACAGTTTGGTATGTAATTAGACTCTGCGCCTTTTGTACAAATGATTGTTTTGCATCTGCAGAGTCATGCAATCAAGCCCTTTTTCGTTGTGTTTTTTTTAAAAACACACACTCTCATACACATCCATCGTCGAGTTACACATACACACAAATAGAAGAAAACAAGGCTTAGACACAGGCGCTGTTTTATTCATGCTGATGTGATGCCAGTGGACATGCACCCGTGAGGAACACTGCTTTTCTCACCTCACACACTTGCACACAAGTACACACAACACACACAACCCCTCCACAGTCACCTCAGTTCATTTCATCTAGCTATGTACGCTCACACAGATGTATGCCCACAGAGAGATCCTGATGCAAAATGTTTCACTGGGGTTCAACCCAGGGAGCCAGATGGGTCGAGGGTGGACTGCACCTCCTGCTCAAGTTTTATGAGCGTGCTGTTTGGAAAGTATTTTTCACTCTTTGTTAATGCGTATATTTGGTGTTAGTATGGTCATATATTTTAAGGACTGCTTATATGTACATACTGTGTATGTAAAATATGTCTTTATAAAAGATTAAAGCAATCCTCCTTTAAGTATACAAACTGCTAATGCATGCAAAGCCTAGCATGCACAATGGTTTCATCCTCTTCAATTCTTTCTAATATAGGTTAATATATACCCATTACTTATTTATATTCACAGTACATGTGATCATTCTTGTGCTAGTTTTGAGAACTTTATTTTTATAGTACAATATAACTATAATATAATAATAATATAGTTTGTCATTTACAAGAGATCCATTACTGTAGCTGGAGAGTTAGCCTCGCTAAAAGCAGGTATTTTAATTAAACTGAAGCAGTTTAATCTCCTAGGACCTGGCGTCCACATATGTGGACATCATATTTTGGGTTATTTACACCAAAATATTTAATTTTGCTCTACAAGGGCCTGATATCCACTTACAAGGTCATTATACTGCTACTGTTCTATCAAAATTTTAAACGAATATCCTCATATGAGGCTCTCATTTTTCTTAGTAACAAAAATCTGGTAAAAAAAAAAAGAAAAATCTGGTAATTCTTTGTTTTTACATTCATCGGGTCCCAATCAGCCCAAATATCAAAGAGAAATTAAAAATGCATGCCGTGGAAGAGTGCGGGTCTTAGGAGGTTAAGTACAGAGTACAGATTTTTCCATTTTAATCGCTCCGTAGAACTTAACTGATGATTTTAAGTCAGAAACCAGATTCTTTATATAAAGTTGCCCCTACTCATCAAAACCATTTTAAAAGGCAAAATTACATGTACTGAATCTCTTTCTCCTTCTTTGTCACATACAAACCAAGATATATACGTGTATTTACAGAAATAGTGAGAAAAGACCACGCTCTAGGCTCCTTTGGACTCAAAAGTGGGTGGGCAGAGGCATAAGCTGATCGCCAGGCTTTTGCCCATCAAGCTGGGATTCCAGTCCTGTCTGAACTATTAACATCTGATGTTCTTTTTTTTCCTTTTTGTTTTCAATGTTTCCTTATTTAGGATAAGGCACAAAAAACTACTTGTTTCAGATTACAGAATACATGGCCCAAAATGTATTTTGTAACGTATTCCTTTACATTACTCAATAAGAGTAACGCATTCTGAATACTTTAGATGGCTACACTGGATTGGTTTAAGAAATGGTAACTGTTTTGGTTAAAATACATCCTTTTGCAGGTAAAACAGAGTTCATGTACTAAACTCCCTGTAAAACCAGAACACCAGCAGCATTGTAGCTGAGATGGCTCGGAAAACCACCTCACTTCACATGTTATTGCTTGTAAAATGACAAGTGTGACCATGACCTTGAGCTTCAGCACAATTTTAGTGAAGAGCCATTAGGTAATCCTTCTCTATAGGCTTAATTACATTTTGAACAATACTGTAGGAAGAGTAATATTTATTGTGAAATGTGCAGGTGGAAACACAGTCATCAGTTGCTCATTCAAATGAGATAAAAATGATACTAAAAGGATGCTAAAGTGTGTATGTAACAAGTTTGGAGTTGGCTTAAATGTTTCACAGAGTGAACAAAGGAAAGTATGGCTTTAGTTCATTCCAGTGTAAACAGAGTAAATTAAGAGATTATGTGACTAAACACAAACAAAACAATGACACGATAAACATAAGTAATGACTCACTGGTGATTCATATTATTTATGCTACCGCGTACAGGGCAACTGATGGTAATGATAAAATGTGTCCATGTTGCCTGAAGTGTTTTCAGTCACCAGCATGTTTTGCCTGAAAGTGCTGCAGTGAAAATAGTCCCTATGTAAACAAAGTTGAATTTTCCCAGCTTTGAGGAGGTGTTCATGCATTATAACAACATCATCATCTTCACATGACCTTAGGCTTTCTTATATTTGTCTTGGGAAAATAACAAATAAAGACAGAAAAATCTAGAGTTTGACTGAGAATCCAGCAAGACAGGCAAGATCTGAAAATGTGGAAATTCTTGATGAAGGTCGGCTGATCAATGCTCTTTGATTATACTACTGCAATCAGTGATAGACTCTGAATAACCAAAGGACACATGGGTGCTACTTTCATAAATATAGCATGGTCTCATCAGCTTTAGTTTTATCCATTTCATACATAAAATACAGGAATTTTATGTATTAGATTTTTTTTAAATGCCAGTTTTAATAAACTACATAAATGCATTTTAATACGGTTTACATCAAAACATTCATCAGACTAAATGAGAGTAGCCCATATGGTTGCTAAAACTATGTTTTAGAATGACAAGAGACATTGCTGACAAGGTATCATTGAGCAAGAGAGGTGGAACGTACCTGCTCGCTCAGTGAAGGTCACAGCGGATCACCAAGAACATATACTGCATGTATAAATGCACATTTTAATAAATGCCCAGTGGGAGATCTTGGCGCTTACCTGGGGTCGTGGATGTCCTTTAACAATACACTGAAGCACTAGTGTGTCTCCTTCTTTGATGGTGTAGATTCTCTCACTCATGTTATCATCTTTGACGTTACATGCTGCGCCCGAGTGCACAATCTGGGCGTTGGCAGGAGCTGTGAAAGAAAGCATGGACACACACACACACACACACACCACAACCAAGCATGTAGTCATGCAGGCACACACATATACACACAGACAAACACAAAGGAAGAGAAAACCACATTACATATTTAGTAACATTTCTGCAGCAGAATTAAAGGTCATAGTCTTGTGGGTGTATGTGTAACACTAGTGCTAGTATTGATGACTCAGATAAATAAATATATCACATTACTCTTTTATCTGCATGATCTGAGTTTTCTTCTTTTTTTTTCCTGTACTTGTAGCCGTGTCATGTGGATCAGTGTCTGAGGGAATGCGGACATTTATTGGGAAACTGAAACGTTGGTCACCTTTAGAAGTTCAAAAGGTTGAATCTTCACTCTGGAACAATGTTTTTGTCTTTTACAGATTTAGTTGTGTGGTAATGGAAGTTTTACATTTTAGACATTACAAAGTTGGTAGTTGTAACCTGTGTCAGTCTGCATTATACTATCATGTGGGAAAAAATCAAATGGACTCGTATGGCTTGCTTAGAAGGGCTGCCAAGATGAAGCCTTGTTTCTCTAAAAAGAACATAACAGCACAACTTAGGTTTGCAAAGCTGCATCTGAGCAAACCATAAAACCCCTGGACAAATTTCCCTTAGACAAACAAGACCAAAGTGGAAACGTCTGGCCATAATGCACAGCACCACATTTAGTGAAAACCAAAAAACAGCATATCAGCAGGTGATGATTTAGACTTGCAATCACTGACTGAACCATGAACTCCTCTGTATACCAAAGTATTCTAGGCTGTGATGTGAGGCCAGCTGTCAAACAGCTAAAGCTTGATCAAAACTATGTCAATGATCTCAAGCATACCAGTAAATCTCCAATGGAATAGCTGAGAAAGAAAAAGAATCAAGGTGTTGCAATAGCCCAGTTAAAGTCCTAACCAAGTTCAACCCAACTGAAATATTATGGTGAGACTTTAACCCTTTAAGACTTACCATAGAACCAAGTCCGCCAGAGCTTATATTATATTTTTACATGCTGTAGTGCCATTTCTGGGAGCATTGATATACATCAACTGGGAAGTTACGCAAAATGGAGCGTGCCCGCTCCGATCGGCTTTAAAGGGTTAAGAGAGTTATGTATAAATGTAAGTCTGCAAATCTCAATAAACAGAAGCAAACTTTTTTATGAAGAGGGTTTGAATATTTTTGTTGTAGAAAATATCAACAGCTTATTAAGTTGTCAGACATTTTTTTTCAGTCCAGATGTTTGATCTTCTGGTCTAAATTGGATCCAAATGGAACAAGTGGTCTATGCCCCAAATCATGACCAAAGATATAACTATTTCCAATTTCAGTTGTTGATTTTGATCT